GTGAGTGCAGAATATGCAGTCGTTTGGTCTTGGTAATGGCCAGAGAGCAGTTACTAAAGTCTTGTGAATCAGTCTCCCAGAAAGTACAGTTATACAGCCGTTGCTACGTTTGATGATCTGCAGTTTATGAGTGACAGAACCCTAGCAGTTGCAAGTCTGCTTACAAGTGATGGCTGTTCAACACTTTTGGATGTGCTGAAGCTAATGTCAAGGCCTGATGATAGTTCATATATTTATAATGTGTTCCACCTGGCTTGTCTTTGCCCGGAGTTTTTTCACCAATCAGAAACTGCACATTCAGAGGCCCCTGCATTATAGCCAGTTGGTGTTTTTTTTTTTCAAAACGCACTCAAACAGGTAGCAATCATGGTTGTGCACATAGCCTACAGCACCCATGGGACTATGCCGTCCTTGGTCATGATAGTGTTATCAAATGACTTCTCAGACAATGTGGAAGCAGGTGTACCACAGCAATACAGTCAATACCAATTTCCAAATCTCCAGCCGTGGGCCTCAATTGCAATTTTCAATCTAGGAGCTTAGTATCATCTCCGTTATTACCATGTTTCATTACAGTAACAAAGCATTGTCCTCTTTCATGAATATGTCTTCAATCAAGCTACATGTAGGTGTACATGTACTTCCTATCGCTAGTAATAAAAACAATTAGCAGGATGTAAGGTTTCCAACAAGGTATTTTATGTTATCTTGTGGTGCCATACTTGTGTGGCACCTTGTGTGGCTGGCAAGTTAATGCTGTTGACAACTCAGCGGTCGATTTGATCTGATCTCAGGGGATCTGCAGTCAAGGTTGGAATTGAACCAGAGGCAATGTCTAGAGGATGTAGTTGGCATTGCAGCTGGGTTGTGTGTTCTGCGCTTCCAGGTATTGGCTCCCTCTCTGAATAAAAGCTGCCTTTTCATATCAGTCAGTGGTGAGTCAAAATCGATTGCCTTGAAAATGATATCCGAACATCAATTGAAAGCACATACATGTGTTTTCACTTTTAATTAGTTTCTCACTAAATCACACATGTACATATATTTAAGTAGGTCACAGACACTGTAGATGTGACTTTTTTTCAATTTTTGTGAGAACATTGTTCACCTTTCGTTTAATTGGCCAAGAAGGCTAATTGCTCAAATGTTACAAACAAAACTTGAATTTCCGCTTTGAGAATTGATATAACACTAAATCACACAAATATTAGTACATGTAGTTTATATACACCTTGTTTCAAATTTTTAGGTAAACTTTGATCACCTTTAGTTTAATCGTCCAAGATAGCTAATTGTTCAAATCTTAGAAAGTAAAGATCAGTTCATCACTTCAAGTTCACTAGGTGATGTGAGTTGTCCTTACATGTGAGTACTCGAGTTTAGTGTTGTACATGTACATGTAGATACAGTTCAGTAACTTTCTAATTACACTTACATGTTGGTACATGTAGATTACTTATTTACATTTTTCTAAACTGTTATTCCCCAAACCTGTTTTGCCTCTCTCAGCCCTTGTAACTACGGTAAATCTTAAATTAATTCTTTTGCCTTGAAGTGAAGTCATTCTGGTTTGGTTTGATTTTGAATATGAAAATCAATAACTGGAAACATTTCCATGGATGTATTGTTGAACTTTCCAACATCTGAAATTGTCTTTTTTACAGGCCTGATACCGGTGTGTACCAAATTATATGTGCGCATCCAATTAGGCATGTTACACATTCGGGCAGCAAAGAAAGTTGTCATGTCATGGTGGCGGTGCAGTCATAACTTGAATTGACAATGTCTTCAGCCTGAGGTTACACCAAGAAAAATGTAACTTTTTCTGCAGTCCAGTATCGTTAGGGCTGAAGAAATTGTCAATTTAAACTCCTTTATTTGTGTGCATCATCCACAAGCTTACGTACATGTGCATGTAGCTGCATTTACCCACATCTTTTACAACAAGCACCCTTTTTTTTACCTACGCACTATTACGTTGACTAAACATTTGTTGTCAATTTGATCACACTTTCT